TTTTAATAATTTATCAGTATATTATGAATATTTTCTGATCAGAAGTTCAAGTATTTTAAATTTTTATTTTTATTTTGCTTAAATTTGTAGCACATTGATTAGAAATAAAATCAAAATTTTATTACCTAAAAATAAAATAAAAATAAATAATCCTAGCAACCTAAGTGTAATTGTTACTACTCGCTGTTTAAGATAAAATTTATTAGGTATGGCTCATATATCATAAATGGGACAGATGCTAGGAGCGGAGTGGAGCGGAAGGATCTGTCCAATCGCGGGAGTTTCATTATGTGGGTTAGGGGTGCGGGGGCAACACCCGCGGTTTGGTAAAGAGGTAATTTAAGTAATAACATATTGTACTATTGGGTTATATATATGTTCTATTTGTAACCCTATGTGAGCCTCTGAGACTCTGAGAGCTGAATCTTGTATTTTGTACTTTTTCTGAATATTGAAAATGAAGTCGTCGCTCTGCTTCCGAGGATGCAGGCATCTTTGCCGAACCTCATAAATCTGTGTGTTCTTCTGGATTCGTGTTTTTTTTCGCCCTAATTTCTCAACAAAATGGATAAATTATTATTGTTAATTTAGAATTAATTCTAAATTCTATTTAGTTATATATATATATATACACGCATTGCCATTTGCTATAATTCAAAGAAGGCCTTTCTTTATTTTGTTTTTAATGTTATATTTATCGTTGAATTATTTAGATAATGCATTTGAAGGTGAGAGAGGAGACAGGCAAAGAGACGAAAGTTACAAACATCCAGGACTAATTATATTAAATTTTTATTTTTATTTTTTAATGTTTTTAATAAACTTTTTCATTTTAGATATGTTATATTTAGGAATATTGATTAAGTTTTTCTTTAAATATTATTATTTCTTTGTTTGATTTTAATTAAGTTGAAATTATTTTTAAGAATGTGTTAATGATTATTTAGAAGAAAAATAGTTAGTTGGATGTTATTATATAGTTAATTATAAAGATGTTAACTAATAATTTTATTAAAAAATGGTTTTCTACACCTATAGATTGCTTTTATAGGCCAATACAAATGTTAACATGTTTTTATGTGCGTAGACAGTCCATTTTTTCTGAAGTATAACTATCTTGCTCTAGTTGTTGGATTGACTTGTCAAGTTGAACTGCTAGATTCACATGCCGAAGTGTCAATTATTATGTTCGAGCTGATCCGCCAAGTTGATCCATCGAGCTCAACCGACATCTACCCTTCAATAGGAAGCAATTGTGGGAGTATCAAACATAATCAAGGAGATAGCGCATGTTTGTGTCCATTTATGAACTATCTAGCTCCCACACTGTTACAGACTTTCATCAATATGACATGAACATAATTCTTAGTAGACTATAATCATTTAATATTTCTTATTGGTAACCCCATGAGTCGTGAGAGGTCATCTCAAGCCATGTAAATAGAGATAATCTCCCGCCCAGGGAAGGCTCTATGGCTTTCTCTTGATTTTCCTACCATTTTCGAATCATTCTCAGAGCCGGAACTCCCAAAACACACATCTATTCCCTTCTGCAACTACCTTCACAAATAATTCTTGAGTTGTATAAGCCCACCAACAATACAACATCTAACATCATAAAAGGAGTCAACTGATATTCAGTAATTAGCTGGCTTGAAATGATATTAATTGATTAATGGAGACGTGTATAATTATTTAAAAGAATTATTTTTTTTGGTTACTTCCTTATTTTCATATATCTGATTGTGATGATTCATACCATGGTGATATGAGTTTCCCTCTCATGCCCGCCTTAGATGGCACTTTCCAGGTGTGATTAGGAGGATCCCTATGAAAATGAAGGTCCCTTATTTTAACCAGAGTCTCAATCCATAGATCGATATAGTGATTTTCTCAACGGGTTTGATCCCTATGGGTCCCTTGTCGAAGATATACAACAAGTTTGATTGAGGAATGGAGGGTTGCTCCTACCTAGAGTGAGGAAGCTCGCCACCCTGGACAAGAGGAAAGTTATAGTAACTCGAGATATTGAGAACAACCCTATGCCTCGAGCTCAAGATGCGAGCAATGATAACTAGTTTGGTAAGGTAGACTATAACGTCGTGACTCACCTCAAGAAGCCTCCAACATTTTTTAGCATATATGATGCATTGATGTTGTCTTTTTGAGATATGACAGACTTTGGTGAAGTCACTTTTAGAGCCCAAAGATTCTTTCTTTTTTTTTCCAAGGAGAAGTTGAAAAATTTGGGCCCTACATAGGACGTGTTCAGTATTTGCTTCACTGATAATGACCTTCTATTGGGCACTACTCAACATAAATGCCCATTATATGTTGCGGCCTAAGTATACAATGTTTCATTGAATCGTGAAATGATAGAACAAGCTGCTTCAGTAAATATCATCAGCATCCACATCCTTGAGCTATTATCTCTTTACTCAAGATGGTTGGGCTTTGATAGGTTAATGATGATTGGCTTTAATGAAAAAACTAGACTACTCTTGGCTCCATAGTTTATCCTCTTTAGTTTAGGGAATTGAAGACTGATGTCAAATTTCATTTTATCAACATTGAGACCACTTTTATGGCTTTGTTGGGTCTCCCATGAATTCACACCTATGGGATGGCTATTCTACCCTCCATTAGTGTATTAGATACACTTGTAGAAGAGATATGCTCTCCATCCCCAATGATATCCAATAGTTCTTATTAACAAGATCAAATTTATGATGATGCCCAATTTTATGTGACAAATCCACCATGATTGGAGGCCCCAAAGCCTAAGCCTTGCCCATCTCTGGTCTGCTTGTCTCTACCCTCCATTAGTGTATTATATACACTTGTAGAAGAGATATGCTCTCCATCCCCAATGATATCCAATAGTTCTTTTTAACAAGATCAAATTTATGATGATGTCCAATTTTATGTGACAGATCCACCATGATTGGAGGCCCCAAAGCCTAAGCCTTGCCCATCTCTGGTCTGCTTGTCTCTACCCTCCATTAGTGTATTATATACACTTGTAGAAGAGATATGCTCTCCATCCCCAATGATATCCAATAGTTCTTTTTAACAAGATCAAATTTATGATGATGTCCAATTTTATGTGACAGATCCACCATGATTGGAGGCCCCAAAGCCTAAGCCTTGCCCATCTCTAGTCTACTTATCTTTCCCTTTTAAAGGATGAGATGGAAGGTCATGTCAAAAAAAGCTTCACGCATTGCCCCATTCAAGATAAGCAAGGCCCTCCTGTTAGGAGAGGGTTGCCTACACTTTATGCAAGGAAGATTATTATTGAGGGTGGTGTTAGTGATGATTTGAGGTGATACAACTCTTGAAATGGAATCAATTCCAACTCTGAAAGATTCAGATGACAAGAACCTTGTTAATGCAAGTTTGTTAACATAGATGTCAAAGCAGGAGATTCCATGCATGTCTATGTGTTGGCATTGTGATCAAGTTGACACTTCAACATCATCACAAAGAATTGATCATAAGAGAGGTAGTGACTTTTTATGAGTTGTTTACTTTTTTGTACTTCCTAGAGACGGTCGTGATGAGAGTTATATTGTTTTATAGGGCATATGCACCCACAAGACATGATGATGTATCCTCTTTTGTTGATGTTAATAAAAATTTGAAATATATTTCTTCCTTTTTTTATCATTCTCAATTGATGATAGATAACATGTTGAGTAACGAGAGTTTACATGAGAAATGGTTGGTCAATTAATCCAAGATGTGTAATAGGATGTGTCAAAATAGACTACCTCAAAATAAGTGTGGCTCGTCGAATAATCTAGTAGGTCAACTTTCAATTAAAAAACTGTATCAAAATTCATACTCATGCTTTGATGTTGTATCATTTATTCATTATTTTTTTATGTCAAATTCTATGTTATATAAAAAGAATTGAGCGATGAAAAGTTTTGTGCTGCATAATTACAATTTCATGATAAATTGTCGGGCCAATTTTTATGTAGCGATTGAAATTTTATTATATACTCCATACATGGGTGGCTGAGATGCATGACCTCTTAGAAAGTACTACTAACGGAACAAAATCGTCAGGCAATTACACAAAAAGCGAGCAATATCTCAATGATTAGCATTTTAAGCTCTTACAAAAACCACTAGAGCTTTATAGCAGCCTAAAGACAAGAACTAAGATGTGGCGTATAACAAAGTGCTATGCTAAGGGTTTCTCTTCTTGAATCCTAGTTAGAAAAAAAATGTTATATAATAAGAGAACTCTCTTAAACTTATAGACACCGCCTTCGTAAATTCTATTTACATTGTTAGTTCTTCATCTAAATCAGTTCCCATGATTTCTTTCTCTTTTCAACTTTTATACAAAAAAGGATTTTGACTTCTCTTATAAAATATATATTTTTTTCATTCTGTGTGGGATTTTGTGAAAATTAAAATATAATACTCTCTTATCATCTCATTCAAATAATTAATGAACAAAATATTATAATATATATTAAAAAAATCAAAATATATTATAATTATTATATGAATTAAATAAACTTATTATTCTAATAAGATAAATATACTAAAAAATCTTATAATATTGAATTATTATAAAAGTTTAAAAGTATATATATATATAAATCTTTTAAAATGTTTTCTTAATATATCATCTGGGAAGGTAGCAGAGGCAGGTGAAAAAAGGGCATTTAAATACATACCACACAAATACTCGTATATTTACATATGTAACACCGAAAAATTCATATTTATATTCATCGCTCAAATCTCTAAAATCCCATAAAATATACAGCCATCACAATCTTTTTAAAAGTAAGATACATGTTTTCATACATAGGTTTATGGCAACTAATTATAAATATCAAATTTTAGGAGTTAGATATGTAAATACATAGAAAATAGGTGATGTGTATGTGAATTTCCCAAAAAAGAAATCAACTTCATTTATAGTGGTATATTCTCTATTTTTGCCCCGATAAATTACTCCATTTATTATATTCTTTTGGAGTAAACAAAGCATGAGCATCCGTGTGTTCTTTGGCAGTTTCCATTGGCTCTTTTGAGTGTATGTCTTCGGCGCGGGATGCTGCTTTACAGGCGAGGAAGCTCTGCTCCGTTCTGAGGAATTTAATCCGCAAAACCGCAGCTATTAATTAACGAATGTTTTATCTTCCCAGACTTTGTTAAACCGCAGAGAGACAAAACGATAGGAGGCCAAAACCAAAAGGAGAGTGAGGATTGTCTTTCTTCTACTTAAAGCTCTCTCCTTTACTGATCTCTTACCATTCCTGGGTTTCACTGGAATGGTGGTGAGAGGATAAAGTTTCAGTGGAGGAGAGGATATTGGGGCTTTTGGCTGATCTGGGCTGTTGAGCTTTGTTGGGTACGATTTTATTCCTTTAACCGGATAAAGGTTGGATTTTGCATCTGGGTTCTGGTTATTGGGAGGTCTGTAGATGGAGTTTGGTTGGAAAGATGGCTCCTTTGTTTGCTATCCTTGCTGAGAGTGATGATTTCTCTTGGATTAAAGAAGAAGTTTCTCTGTTGCTTCTTCCGCAAGTTTATTAGCAGGTGCGGGTTTTTCTTCCGGATTCCATTTCAGTAATCTGCAGCTTTTGAAGGATTACTTTGAGAGTTGGAAGTTTAGTTAAGTGAGTATGAAAGAAAGCAAGATTTTCCGGGGCTTTTGTTCGTACTGGGCGCTAAGCTTTGTTCCACTGGTGCTTTGTTTGAATGTGGCTTATTCCTCTCTTTCGCCTTCTGGTATAAACTATGAAGGTGGGTAGCTCTTGAGGTTGGCTTTTCCATCCTCGTGTCATTATCATGACTTCTTGTTCTTTCATCTCTCTTCTATTCTAGCTTCAAGCATTAGTATAGATCAAAATGTGTTCTTTTTTGGAGTTTTGCTCTTCTTTCTTCAATTATTTGAGCATTTTAGAGAAAATTAAATGGCAGAACAGATGTGTGTCTTCAAATGGCTTTCTTTTCATGAACTTTTACATTGCGGAACATTTTGGTATATTTGATCTCTATCTTCCTCCATTATAGTTGTTGCATTGATGGCTATAAAGATGGAGCTAAAAGACCCATATAATGTTCTGGAGAATTGGGACACAAACTCGGTGGATCCATGTAGCTGGAGGATGGTCACCTGCTCCCCTGATGGATATGTCTCTGCTCTGTAAGTTTCATGGCGTCCATATTTTGAAGGGGAAATCCATTATCTTTTCTGAATATGTTGATGATAATTCACCATGGTAGGGGCCTTCCCAGTCAAAGCTTGTCTGGCACTTTATCGCATGGGATTGGTAATTTAACAAATCTGCAATCTGTGTAAGCTGACTCATCGTTTCCCTCATCAAATTGAAATCTTTGTATTTATTCAAGTCTATATTTTGGGAAGGGATATCACTTTTTTTTTTATATAAATATTTTTTTGTTATTTTCTTATAGGCTGCTGCAGAATAATGCAATTTCAGGAGCTATTCCTTCTGTTTTTGGAGCTGTTTTTGGAAAGCTGAATAAACTTCAGACGCTGGACCTCTCCAATAACCAGTTCAATGGAAACATACCGGATTCCTTGGGAGAACTGAATAATCTGAATTACCTGTAAGATTCATCCCACATGTTAAATTGCCCAGCTGTATCATCGTGCTATGTGAAACTTGTTTATAGTGGCTGCCAATGAACATTTTCATAAAGAATAAAGTGTAAAGATTGTCCTATAAATATATATATGGAATCATTTTGGTTCCAAAGTGTATAGAAGTGTCAAAATTAAGCCTTAGGCTCTTTAAGTTGGGGCTGCAACAGTCCTCTGTTGGGACTATTTCAGCTATATAAAACAGTCTGGGAACTACATTGATGTTTTAATAGGCCCTGGGACTGAAATGACTAATTGCAAAGAGTCGAAGGATGATTTTGACATTTTTCTCTTTTCATAAGCATTAGATTATTAGCTTTTGACACCATAACTTAGTGTTTTTTTTATTAATTCTGATTTGTAATGATTAATTTTTTTATTGAAAACTTCTTATTATTTCTTCTACCACGAACAATTTAGGCGGCTGAACAACAACAGCCTGTCTGGACCCTGCCCGGATTCATTGTCGAACCTCAAAGGGCTCACTTTGCTGTATGTGTTAATATTACCCTCTTTCACATCCCTTTCTGTTTTCTCTTCCATGCACAGTTTTTTCATATGTTTTAGCAGTTTATATTTCTAAATTCTCACTAGGAATCTTATGAAGTGGCCCTTATTTATGCTGCTGTAGGGATATTTCATTCAACAATCTGAGCGGTCCTTTACCAAAATTTTCAGCAAGGACATTTAGGTATATGATACCTTGCCTGTTTACTTGTCCCTACTGCTATTATTTGCATGCATTATTGTCATGATCAAAATCATCAGTCTCAATGAAATACTTTAATTTGTAGACTTGAAATGATATCATTGAGCATATGATTGTTACAACCCCGTTATTGGGATCACGATGCATGGCAATTTGTGGGTGTCGGTAACATATAAAATGTATATTCGCGTTCGCTGGCAACTCTAGATTTCGTACGGGGAAGATAAAAAGAGTGAACACAAATTTGAGGAGACTGATTTCATTCTTTTCATTTATCATCATGTCTCCAAAATGGAGGTTATTTGACTATTTTTTTTTTAGTCTAATAAAAAAGTAATCATACACGAGCTTATTACTCGATCATCATACATAAAGCTATTTCAATTCCCTGACAATGACACTGTTCTTGAATGTTTGGCAGCATTGTTGGAAATCCTTTAATATGCGGGAATAACTCGAGCAACTGTTCTTCTGTGTCTTTGGATCAAATTTCGTATCCTCCAAATGATCTAAATGGTATTTGAACATTATTAATGTTTTGCTTCACTCTATAAGGAGCTTTTTTTTTAAATTTGGTAATTTATATTCATGACTATGCTAATAAATATAGGCATCTTGGATTTCTCAGCTCAATCACAGCATGGAGGGGTGAGAAGCCGACAAATAATCGTTGCATTCGCCGCAAGCATTGGATCTCTCTTGATCGTAGTTATTGTGGTTGCGATGTTTCTATGGTGGCATTCTCACTACAATCAACAAATTTTCTTCGACTTGAATGGTTTGATTCCCTCCCTGTCATATGAATTTAAATTCAGTTTCAATGCATATTATGAAACGATGAGTACAATTTATAGGAAACTCAAAATGTAACACAAGTGCCCTTATAACGCAAATATTAATGTAAACCAAGACATAATTGTTGCAAGAAAAGGAATATAAAGCAGGAGCAGGTTAGAAAGCTAAAATGAGATTAAAATCAAGGATCAAAGAAAAAATGAAGACAAAGATCTTCTGGCAGTAGGGTGGATAACCTAACTTCTTGTCATTCTAGAGAAGGGTCGGAATATCAATTTCTAATACTTTAAGTTAGGGTTGTTGAACGCACAAAGCATGATCTCTTGCCCTCAAGATTTTAATATGGTCATAATCATAATGTAAATTTTGTTTGAACAAATTTTTTTTTAATGTGGTGACATTTTCTAAATATCTTTACTGTAAATGCTAAACTATTTCTTCTTCTCTATTTTCTTTTTTCGCATAACAGCATATTTGGTTAAGGCTCTTAATGTTAGGTCATATGGAGATAAATTTCTTTGCAAATTTAGAGCTCTCTTAATATGGCAGATGATATCCTTAGCAAGTTAAAAGGAAATTTTACATATCTAACATCTAAACCTTTATATTTACATTTATGATAATTTGGTATCATAAATCTATGCATGAACAGACACATTTGATTTTTAAAATGTTATTAACAAGGATATTTTTTATTTGATGTTAAAAAATTGAGTGCTATGCATGTAAATATGAAAGTACAAGTGCAAAATATGTAAATACTCGAGAATTATGTGGTATGTACGTAAGTGCCCCTATCTAAATCCATGTTTGATTGTTGCTTATGGAAAAATTAGAAATATTTTGTAATAGTTTGAGTAGTTTGAAAGATTTTACATCTTAGTGAATTATGAAGTTAGAACAAATGCAGTTTCAAAGATATGCTAACATTATTATTATTACTACTACTCATTCTCATATATATATATACACACACACACATATACATATATATATATATATA